GAAACAAACTTGGGTACTATGAAATCGGAGCTTGAGAAAGAGATGGGTTGCCGGTAATGCTTGGTATTGATTGACTACCAACCATTGAATTAATAGTAGGTTGTGGATACATTGGCTCTTCCCTACTATAGGAAAATAGTGTTATCTTCACCCGATTTTGGATCCACTGCACGTACAGATCAAGGGCTAGAGATCCTCTGTGACCAAAGAAAGTAGTCCCTTATTGATGAACAAGATTCCAAGCTCCTCTTATCCATGACAATAAAACAGGATCTTCACCTTTGCGGAAATAAACGATTTCCTCTACCTCATGATCAGTAGGCTTATCAGTCATAATGTACCCCAATTGTTGCCATTCTAGGATAGGATTACAATTGATACAAACTTTAGTCCCCATGAGCGGTATGTTAGGAAATGATCCACAGTTCGTAATAATTTCTCTCACGCTTCTTATGTTGTTCCAGACAATGTTATAAGAAGTGAGAGCCATGATCTTTCGCGACCAGAAGAGAGTATCTGTAGAATTAACAAAAGGTCCTCTGGTAGGCATATGCATCATAAACCATTTGTAAAGAATGGACATACAACAGAAAACACACCCTTTCTTGCAATGTCGGGAGTGGATGGAATAATAGGTGTCATCCAAAATTGCCGGTACGGGATTTCCATTCATGAAGACACAGATAGCTGCGAAGTCCGCTAAATCCTCCACATTGGGGAATATGATAGTACCATAGATCAAGGTGGCCAACAGAGCATTGAATGTGACCCAATTTCTATTTTCTGTGAATTCTTTAGCCTTGGATATCAAGAACAACAAATGAAAACATGGCGTATTACTCTTTTCGGTCGAATTATTCCTTACTTCGCTCAGGCCCAAATAAAGTTCCTTAGCGATAGCGGCATAATCAGGAACTTCTGGTACAATGGAAAAAGTAATGCATCTAGTAATCTCAATATCCAGAATGTAAGCATATTCTTCGAGCGTCGGAGCTAGCTGATAATCCTGGAATGTGAAGCAACGCAGTTGAGGATCATAAAATTGCCACAACAAAATCATAGCCCACTTTTTATATTCGTCGTTCAATAATGGCAATAAGTTCCCGTATTGATCTCAGAAAATCTTCTCATTAGGCCCGGCCACAAGAGAACCCACCTCTCTCAATGGAGCCAAAGCAAATCCGCAAAAACTATAGCAAGATGTCTTCTTAAGCAGCTCCCTGCCTACACCTATGCTGCTATCCATTCTTGATGAAAAGACGATCTCGGATTAACCTGGAAATGGTATGCACATGCGAGTTAGTATATAGTTTCATTTTTCTGACTTTTTATTTGAAAAGTAAACATGCTATGATGTAAGGGAAAGTGATCATGGGGTTACTACTTCCATGATACTGATTTCTGTTGTATTGTCTCTGCATAGTCTATTAGTACCAGGATCACTGGTTCTAAAGATAAACCAAAGAAGTATAGTCACCAACAGAAATCCAGAACTTAACCCTTAGAGCTAATAGTCACCAATAGAACCAGAACGTAACCATTAGAACCAATAGTCACCATCTGTACCTGTGATAAAATATTCTCGCCGCACTCACGGGTGAAGACTAGGTCAGGGTAAGGTAATGGTAACTCAAAATCACGGGTTCACTTGAGAATACTATCATCATACACCTACGTGATAATGATCGTACCTCATTAAAACCTCATATGAGCATGTACGACAAAGCCGTCTAGGGTAATATACATCCCCTATCCACCGTGTTCCAATTTATCCCTAGTGTTCCTATGGTTGTCACTTGGCCTGGGTATTGGGCCTTTTACCTCATAGTAACACTCATCCAATCATGAAAACAGATCCAGCACAACAGATAACCAATATAGAAAGCAGTAAAATGCATGCACAAACATATACAAGAAGTGTATATGAAGCTGTAAATAATTGGAGATAAATAAACACCCAAAGAAGTAAACAAACAACAGCTAGGATCGACTCTGGGATGGACCAGCAATAGGTCAATCTGTCCCCAGTGAAGTCTCCAGCTGAAACAACTGGCTGAATAATCAACTGATAATGAAATCAATGAAGTCGCCTTCGAATGTTTTTTATCCAACAGGAAGGAAAAGGTAAACATCGAGTAAACCTGAGAAGGGCGAAATCATTATCAAATGACAAAGAGATATGGTTAAGGGAGTCTGTTACGCGAGGGGAAGGTACTAGCAACCCATACGCTTGTAGTACTCTATGATATCCACTCTTGTTGTCCAAATCAAAGGGTGTGTAAGAATCTATATCTAAGTTGTACAAGAAATGCATGCAAAAGAAAGGAGAAAAGAATGTAGGAAAAAATAAAGTTTTGCTCGTTCGGGCCCTACCCCAATGCCTACGTATCCCTTTTAAGGAATCAGAGTCGTCGTAGTTCGGCTCCAAATATTTTTTTGGTTTTGTATTTTTTAATGAACAATATTAATTTCTCCTTCTGCTGCAGCTCGACCTTTGGAGACTCACGCATCAACACAGAAGTGAATTAACATGTTCTTTCTGAAAAGTTTCAAAGAAAAGCCCGAAGGCGCAAATAAATTTGCATTGGTTGGTATCTTTTACCTTAAAAAGGATTTAGATGTTGTTAGATGTTTTGTGCTTTTTTTCAAGAAAAAAGGAAGTTTTAGTCTTAATGCATGGATGCAAAAGAAAGAAATATCCTCTAAGGGAGACTAACATAGATCTATCCCTAATGTTATCATACAATAATTAATCCTAAGGTTGATTTTTGAAATGGAAATACCTACCCTAAGTTAGCATGCATGGATACCTATCCTAACGTCTAGCTCGGAGACTAGTCTAGTCGAGCGATACTAAGGAAAGCATGGTATAGCAAACAAATAAGCAAACAATTGCTTTGGCAAAAGCACACAAACATGAGTAGCACATACCGACTCAAAGGGGTGGGGAAATAAGAGAAATGCTTTAGCTAAGGGGAGCGTATCACCTGAAGTAAATAAGCGGAAAATGGATGAAAAACAAAAATGTGACGTCTAAAGCGACTGAACACCTAACCAAGATATAAAAGATCGAGGTAGGCGACATAAGACAATATGAATGATCACGGAGTGTCAGCATCAGTCAATGCGAACTCCTGACAAAGTGTGGGGGTTTGATTATAAAACCCTTCCCTACTTGACGAACTCGATACACAAGATCTACACGACTCTGAAGCATAGACGTATAACGTGAGCTAAGGATGACACAGACTAGAATGTGAGGGGGTCGATTACGGACCCTCCCTGCTCGCCTCCTTTTGAGGACTTATCATCTGTAATATAATATGGGCACAAATGTAAACATGCGTGTAAAATACATACTTCAAAGGAAGGATTTTAAACAAACACAAATAGCATACAGAAAGTGATGCCTGCTACAAGACTTTAAACAGATACTTCGAGCGCGCACTCTTTATTATCTGCTTCCTACTTCACATGGTCTCTAGAAAGCAATAAATGCCCCTGCTATACATGATCTCTAGAAAATAGGTAAAGAAATGTAGCAAAGTGCGAAAGAGTAAAAAGGTAGTAGCTGTGACTACCAAAAGCGAGCAAATCGTCAAGAGCGGATGAAAGCAATGGAGAAGTAGGGAATATGCGTCGAGTAAGCTTCACCAAGAAACAAACGAATTCATAAATCATATCCAATTAAAGTAAAAGTAAAACCATGATTAGAAATTCCTGTACAAAGTATCACAAAAAATCCCACGTATCAGGACAACATATGAATTTCTTAGGATGATGAGAAGTAAGGTGTGTCGTATTCGGAGCGAGCATGAACCGCATGCTTCGATCACATAACAACTTGTTATATTATGTGATCAAAAGCACAAAAAATATACCTCAAACAATGAGAAAACACATCAAAAATAGAAAAGCAATATGAAAATACTGATAAAAACTTATAAAGAGAAAATATTTATTATTATTATTTTTAGTTTTTATGTAGGGAGAATTCTAAGAAAAAACTAATGAATTAATTCCTAAAAATTAAAATCTATTATTATTTTTTTTGTATCGCTTTTATTATATCATGACAAAAATATATAAAAAAATTCTAAATGAAGACATTAGTTCAGGGGGGTAAAAAAAACTGGAGTCAGGGGTGTAGAAATCTTGGCACTAGGCCCAGCTAGAGTGAATCCAAGAAATAGTTTTTTTTATTGCCTAACACAAGTTTCGAACAAATTTGAAGGAAAAAAATCCCATAATGTAGTGCTAGCCGGCCCGGTAAAAGGGGGGTATGTTACTGAATTTTGGAAATGAGCTACCATAAGTACAGTGACACTCAGGCCTGCTAAATATAAGTTTGTTCAGCCCAACTTACTTATGCCTAAGTCCAAATGTCCCAACAAAAATCAATTCTCCATTTTCTGCTACCATTATCATTATTGTATCACATGTTTAATCAATCATCCCTTTAATTAAAAAATGAAAAAAGAAATAGAAATGATGATAAAACAGAAAACACACATGTCCAATTATACACTGCCACGTGAGTTATTTTTAAATGAACAAAATAAAATTATCATGACCAGTTATCTTCCGCCACGTCACATGTTCATGTAATAGAAACAAAACCTTATCGTTCTACAGTAGCATCTTCTCCGGCGTGAAGAACGCCTCTCATGGTGGTGATCATTACAAAAACTCAACGAAAACACAATTGAAACGGCTTACCTTACTCGAAATCTCACAGGGATCACATATTCGCACTTATATTCTTCTAATACTAACTTAGATCACACAAAATCTTAGTCACACCAAACAGATCTTGAAACAAAAACGCGAGATAATGAAACTAGCGCTCAAGTATGCGTCTAATGCCAACATCAACATATTTACACCACTTCATATGTGATGAAATTCTACTTAGCTCATGGAGAACTTAGTACGAAAGATCGAGAGGTTTTGAAACTTAGCGTAACAACGACTGAATCTTGCGCTTCCCTTAGATAACTCTACAGTCGCAATCCTATGATCTTGACGATGACAACTGATAGCCTCAGAATCCTTGAATCTTGTTGTGATATTTGGTTTACTCGATACAAATCAAAGAAGAAGACGGAAGCTTCGAAGCTGCTGCGATACACTTCACTGCGAAATAAATGCAAGCAAAGTTTTTCCGCTTGTAGTGAAAAGGCAGAATGTCTCTTGACTTGTTGCAGATGATGAAGAACGAAAAAGAAGACGCATGTTCTCACCGAAGCAATCCAAAAGAGAGTCTCAAAATTTTGAGAGGACCATCCCATGACAGAGCATTGTTGAGAGCTCCTTCTGTTATTGGTGAAGACGAGAGGAAAGAGAGTTTGTTGAGAGAGAGAGAGCATCCATGTTCTGTTATCCTTGAGAGAGAGAGATATAACAATTTTGTTACCATTGAGAAAGAGAGAGTAATTCTATGTCGTAAAAGAGAACGAATGAGAGAGAGAGCGCCGCTGAGTTTGTTACGCGGAGTTATTTTGATGAGAGAGAAAGAGCCTTGCGAGGTTGATGCATGGTGAGAGAAAGAAAAATTATGTTATGTGTAGAGAGAGTGAATACAATTATGTTATGTTCTTGTTCATGCATGCAACCTGAATTACTGCATGGACATGTAGTAATAAAAGCATTACTCCCTGCATGATATAATACAATAGCTATTTTCCTCAAAGATTCTGCTACTATGCATGGCCATGTAACCTCTTTTGCGCTCATATTTCTTGAACTATAACATTCCTCGCGACACAATCTTAGCATCACTGAAAAGAGGACACATCAAGGAGCATTTTTTATGTTGGCCTCGCGTCGAAATAGCACTCGTAGCATGCCTAAATATGACCCTGAAGTCAAGAAATCATAACTAAAATAAAATTACGGCCTGGCAAGGCAAGTCTTGGCAGCATTTTTCCTCTCAAGCCCTCAAAATGTAAACATCATAACTTTCTCTACGAGCCTCCAAATGGGATGATTCTTGAATCAAAATCAGAGAGGAGACTCTGATCTTCAACTTTTATGTTCAAAGATTTTTCATTTGAGTCTAAATGAGACCCTAAAAGTAGCCCTGAAGATTGCCATATTTTTAGAAAATCTTTTGAAAATTACTAAGTGTTCATATTACTTAAAATGCAAGAAACTTCAAATTCGGCTGATTCTTTCGATTTTTCTTAACAGCTTATCAAATTTTCTCGTCTTTTGAATTTTTTCAATAATTTTTGACTAAAAATCTCATTTAGTCAACCTTTGACTTTTGTTGACTTTTACTCATGCACACTTAAATCTCTTCCTATTCAATCGACTCTGATTCTTCTGATAAAAATATGGAGATTAGTAGACCACATGCAGATACTTTTAATGCAGATGCGGAACCATGAGACCATCTTTAGCTTGAAAAATCAGTTAAATCATGTCATCCATCAAGAACACTAATTGCATTACAAATATTGGAGATGTTGACCATAACTCCAAACACTAATCCAACTGGAATATCTTGAAGAACTCTTGTACCCATATATATCGTGACTTGAGATGATGTTTAGGATGAAAAGACTTCAGATACTTGACCCTTGAAGATAGATCTTCTTCTCTTGGGAAGTATTCACTTATCCAACCAAACCCTTTATCCCATGTCATCGAGTTAAAGCAATGCAAATGATGAATATGATAGTGAAGCATAAGCCATTTTGCTTACAAGTAAGAGGGAGAATTTTAGGGTACAACACTGTGCAACAGTAACATCTTTCAATACAACTCAGAAATAAACCGGCTTGCAAAAAATTATTCTTTATGATGGAGAGGGGAATACTCAATTCATCTACAGTAGAAACATATGAAACATCATCAATAGCATTGATGTCTTTGTCATGCTTCAACATAGGTGTTGTAATCACATTAGGGGTATTGTAAGGATCAAACTCATTTTCTTTGTTGTCAATCATGTATTAAATTTTATTCTTCAAAGCCCGACATTTATTGGTGTCGTGCCCGAGGTTATTGGAATGGTAAGCACATTTCACATTAGGATTATAACGAGGAGAGGAGGTGTTAGGAGTATGAGGAGGGTCCCTTAACATTATCATATATGCTTTCAACAAGTGTTGTAATGCCTGAGACAATGGAATACTAATCTTTGTAAACTGTCTTCTTGGTGCATCTGATCTATGCTGATTGCCCTGTTGTTGTTGTTGCACAGGTGCCAGATTGGAAATTAGCACAACTCCTACTGACTGGTTGCAGTCACTTCTAACATGAAACTTTTGGACATATACAATATTCATTTCCTTATTAATGTTGAACGTCTTCTTTACAGTACTTGAAGAAGTAATCACTTGAATTTTTCCACTTCTGATACCACTTTCGACGTGTTCTCTTGTTAATATCAACCCGGTAAAACCAGATGAAGAGCTTATGATCATATGATTAAAGAAAGGCCCTGTCAGAGTTCCCATGAAGATATTGACCAGATCCCTATCAGATAGAGGAGGTTACACCCTTCCATCCAGATCTCTCCACTTCTGGGCCTATTCCTTAAATCCTTCATTCGAACCCACAATCATACTCTGTAATTGCACACGAGTTAGTACAAGACCAACATTGTATTGGTATTGCTTGTAAAAATAAGTATCCAGGTGTTCCCAAGTACGTATACTGGTTCCTTCCAGCTGATAGAACCATTTGAGTTGTGTCCTAGATAAGCTCTCTTGAAAGAAGCGAACCCATAATTTTATGTCAGCAGTATGGGGTTGGATCTTCCAAACATAAGTCCTCATATGAAGCTTAGGAAAAGAAACACCATCATATTTGGCAAAAAGTAGGGACCTTGAACTTGCTAGGGATAACTACCCCCGAGATAAGACCCAGTTCTTCAAAATCCCGCCCAGGAACTTTATGGATTTCAATGGCATTCAGACGATCTTCTAGTTATTTGTATCTGTCATCAGCGGGAGGATATTGCTCATCAAAATAGTCTTCTTCATCGGGAATTTTATCGGAACAAAGGTTGCTTCCCCCCTCAGCTTTGATACTTTGGTCGTCTTCTTCTTGATTGTCATCTTCATCTGATGGGGTGTCAGAAGCTTGAACCTGTTTGGCGGGACCTTTGAATCTTCTCCCTGTGTTGAGGATACCAGTCGGTTTCCTAGTCTCTTTCTTCTTGGAGATGAGCTCCATCATTTATTTCTTCCCCCTGGCTAAGTTCAGGAGCATCTCTTGGAATTAATCATTTTTAGCTTGAAGTTCTTTCGTGGTTTGTTCAAGATCCATCTTTTACTGAAATAAATAGCAAGAACGTGAGTAAGCCTATCTTGGGAAATACCTGTTATAGAATGACATGCATGATATGTAGATGAAATATTTTCAAGGATCTTCGGGATTAATAAAAGGAAATGTTAGAAGTCGAGTCTGGATGTAGATTTGACTGAAGAACTTTGCGATGCATGATATATAGATGAACGTCCTTATATGAGAATCAAGCTCACCATGTTAAGGGGGTCCTAGCCTTTGACTCAAGTGAAAGTAATTTGATTTTTGACGACATTTGATTAGAGGAAAAAAATCCCCTTGCCCCCTACTAGACGTCTGGTTCATAATAAACCTGCATCACAGGCCTTTGAGATCTTGGAAACAATTAGTGAAAATGATATGGTATGATATCATGATGTCATGATGTCATGTTCAAACAGATAACAAACACAAACAAAGCACACATGAGCGTAAGGTTTAAGGCTTGCATGAGGTTCATAGGTAAGTACACTCTTGAAGTTCAGTTGGCTCAACCTGTCCTAAGAAAAGTAATTGGGTTATAAGAATCTCATATCACCGATCTTTCTCACGGGCTTTGTTTCAGCAGAGTAATTGACTTGCCACTAAAATATCTCGAGAATCGAATCTCAATGAGTGTAGCATCGAGTATCAACCAACTTTGGACTGCACCAAAGCCGGCTATCTCACTACCTTCTAATGTCTAAGTTGGGTCAATTAAGGTTCTAAAGGTCAGTTAGTGCTTTATGACTCCACGGGGCAGCCTAGTGTTATCCTCGACTGAATCAAGGAACACCATTACAAACTAATGTGTCACACTAACGTAGCTATCACTTCAACCATATCGGTCTATCCCATTTAGTTTCCATGATCTATAGCTACTTACCTAAGGTCCCCAGATTCGGGTATAGGATCTTTGCAAGAAATTTAAAACACGAGCAACCCTCAAATATAAAGCAATCAAAGTAAACAAGTAAATACAATTAAAGTGATCCTAAACTCTAAGGTAACCCCTCCTTTTTAAGTATTTTCCCCAGCAGAGTCGCCAGTTCTGTAATACAGTGGGAGAACTAACTTTCTTTTTTGCGTTTTATCGCAAATGTTACGGATAGCAAGAGTCACCACTAAATTTTCTTTTATCCAATAAGGAAAGGATGAAAAGAATAGGAAATACCTTGAAGATTTTGAGTTCAGGGGGTAGATTATGCAAAGGAAAGGTGTTAGCACCCTTTTCATCCGTGGTTATCTACGGGCTCTTAATCGCTTAGTTCACTTTTTGAAATTGCTTTGTGATGTGTGTTTGTAAAATATTATGATAAGATGCCAATTTTAAGGTGAAACTTTGTAATGATTCTTGTATCTGCCCTCGAGAATGCGTACAAAGTGTTTTGAAAATATTTTTGAAAGTGTGATTGTGTGAAATGTTTTTGTTTTGAAAAGCTTTATGAGCAAGAGATTAATAGCATTTTACCTACTCAAGGTCGTTCTTGTAATTTCCTCCTCCTTTAGATAGTGATATCCTACCATTAGTTAGTAGGAAGCCATATATGTTTGATGTGAAGGGACATGCGTGGGTCATCGTACAACCATCGAAGGCAACTGGTAAGGACGCTTTAGTAATTTTCGTTAAGGGACTAGATAATTCACCGAAAAGCAACGTCGAAGGGTCATCGAGGGACTATGACCTTTGTATCGAGGGCCTTTGCTAAAGCGTCCCCGCGTTCGATGAACATGACTATTTTCTAAAAGGCAACAAGGGAGGTTACCCTAGAGGTGTGAGTGTGCGAGTCATTTGTTTTCAGTTATATTAATCTTTGTGTTAGGGTTAGCTATCGATTAATTTTAGTATTTCCATACAACCCTAATTACTAAGCATTAAATAGAAAATATAGGAAATTGTAAAGGTGAGGAAAGTAAAAAGCGGAAAGTAAACCCTAGACTATTACATCACTTTGGGAGAGGTACATAAGTAGGAAAATGTGAGAAAGTAAACCCTAATTACTATTATATCCCGGGAAACAGTTACAATAACGGAAAAAAAATGCGAGAATAATAAACTACGCGAAAGAAGATTGTAAGAATAAAAAAACAAAAACAATGTTTTTTCAGTGATTTCTTGATGAAAAAGGTTTTTTATGATTA